TCTTCAACTTCACTGCTCTGGTCATTTAGTTTGATGTTTAAATGATATAATTTTTTATAAGACATTAAATTTTTAGTTCTAGAGTACCTACTTGTTCTGTTTTGTAGTTTTTATTTCTCAGCAGTTTTCCATTTGTCTCTTCATTCTGAACATATGTTCCTGCACATTCTTGAGTCCAGGAGCTGTTGAAAAACCTTACACAGCAATTCCCAAGTCAGGAATTTATTTTGGGGTAACTGGGGAGCTACTACTATTGAATATGGGGTTTATCTTGGGGTGACTAAGGAGCAACTGCTATTGGATACAGCATTATTCTTGGGGTGACTGAGGAGCAACTACCATTGAATACAGGGTTCACTTGGAGGCTGATGAAGAGGGTCTACAATTGCTTGCTAAACTATTCTACAGAGGAATAACAATTGCTTCTTATCAGATTCATGTATCATGTGCTGAGTTACTCCAAATGTGAGAATTTTCTAGAGAAAAAAATCTGACTGCCACCAAACTCTAGAGATCTAACATAAAGTGTAAAATGTGTTTAGAGACTGGCTATCATCTGAGAGAGAGACAGAGACAGAGAGAGGGAGGGAGTGAGGGAGAAAGGGAGGGAGGGAGGGAAGGAGGGAGGAGAGTGTGACAGCATACACCTATAATCCTAGAACTGTGGAAACTCAGAGGCAGAAAGGTCAGGAGTCTGAAGCTGGTCTACAACAAATAAAACCCCAAATAAATGAATATGTAAAGCTAGCTGAAAGCTCGCCTAACACTCATGAGGTCCTGGGACTGATCTGCAGCATTACTGAAAAATTACTAAAAGTTGGGAGGGAATAAATAACGCTATAAAGAGACATTCTGATGGCAGCTGGAAAAAATATCTAACTATAGGTTATTAGTCGATACTAGGAAACACAGAATAATTTTACTAGATGTGCCCAGGAACTCTTCTTCTAGGAATCATATGTAGAAATATTTAAGAATTAAGTGTCACAGGGTTGGAACTTATTAAGTAGTTTAACACACACACAGAGCAAGCAATGTAAAATGGTGATGACTACCACATGTAAGCACTAGGTACTAAGTATTCTTTTAATAGTGACACATATTTGAACTTCTCAAAACATTGGGTTAAAAGATACAGATTTTTTTTATTACTCAAGATTTTCAGTCAATTTCTTTCCCTTTTTTTTGGTAATTAAACATCAATTTAATTTGGCAGCATTTTGCATTTAGCAGTTGTGTTTCCCGTGGGATGAAAAGTCAGCAACTTGGTAAAGTGCTTTATTGGCAAATAGCTTTGGTAAGACCAAAACAACTACCAAAGGGAAAGAGAAGCGTGTCCCCAGGCATTTAGTCGACAGGTTAAGGCTGCCTGTCAGTGAGAAGGGATGGCACATCTATGTCCTCAGGACACGATGGTACTCTGCAGACCTCAGCCTATTGCTCGTTTGCAACACGCTGCTTGAGAGAAACATCCACATGCCCGGGACTTTTGCCAGGTATATATTTAAAGTCAGAGGGAGCAGAGATGGATTTTGTCCTGGAGGCTTTACTGCTACTGAGTTGGCACATCACAGTATGGAATGTTTTCAGTTAGAAGATCGTTCCTGAGGAACAGTTTCAGTGTGTTGTGGTCAGTGTGAATACCTTGAATAACAGATGTTCTGAGTAACAGTTCAACATCGGAACCCGTTTTCAACATCTCTTCTATTTTCTCTGGAGAGGCCTCACTTTTATGTTTTTTGAATTCTTCATTTATCTTTACTCTGGCTTCTTCTAGCGTTCTCTTATCATTTTTAAAAACTTGTTGTTTTGTCCTGTGCAGTGTTCTGAAGAGCTTGCAGGAATAAGGGTTTTGGGTAGGTGGATTAAATTAATATTCTGAGATGGGAATCTTTTGTGTATTGTCTGGTAGGCCTAATGAATCAAATTAAAAGTAAAAGAAGGAAACAGGGAAAGTTTAAAGATATTCATCTGCTGGCTTTGGAGATGAAAAAAGAGGCCACAAACCAAAGGAAGCGTGTGGCCTTTGGAAGCTGGAAAAGACAAGCTCAGTCATTTTCTAGTTAAGTTCCATGTTAAAAATGATTTATAAAGTTTTGCTAATGTTCCAGTTACCACAAGATGTCACTCTTCCCATGCTCAAAACCAAGAGGATTGCCTGAGAAAGGGGGCAGCACCAATTTACTAAATGGACAAGACATGGAAGGAACTTCCAAAATTAATCTGGAAAATGTAAAAACTTCTTACATGCAAGAAGCAAAATTACCCTGCCCTTCTCTGAGGATTTATAAGTAGCTATTGGTCAGGGTGCACACAGAGATGTAACCACTTGCCTATGTGCCTATAAATAACTCATGTTCCTGTAAGAAACCCTAATGAAACTCACTGGATCACATACTAGCTGGCAAGGAGAGATCAGTGGGAGCCACACAGTAGAGGAATGGGTGAATATGATCAAAATAGATTATAGACACATTAAAAATGCCACAATTAATATATGCTAATAAAAACTTTGAAGTGTATAATAAGAAAGAAGCAAAATTAAATAAGGTCTCTCAAATACAAAATATCAACTCAATCTAGGGCTATTGAGATGGCTCAGTGGTTCAGATCATTTGCTGTTCTTCCAGAAGGATCTACATCAGTCCCCAGCACCCATGCCAGGCTGCTCACACCACCTGGATCTCCATCCCCAGCACCCATGCCAGGCTGCTCACACCACCTGGATCTTCATCCCCAGCACCTGTGCCAGGCAACTCACACCACCTGGATCTCCAGCCCCAGCACCTGTGCCTGACTGCTCACACCACCTGGATCTCCATCCCCAGAACCTGTGCCTGGCTGCTCACACCACCTGGATCTCCATCCCCAGCACCTGTGCCTGGCTACTCATAACCACCTGGATCTTCAGCCTCAGCACCTGTTCCTGGCTGCTCACACCACCTGGATCTCCATCCCCAGCACTTGTGCCAGGCTGCTCACACCACCTGGATCTCCTTCCCCAGCACTTGTGCCAGGCTGCTCACACCACCTGGATCTCCAGCCCCAGCACCTGTGCCTGGCTGGTCATAACCACCTGGATCTTCAGCCCCAGTACCCGTGCCTGGCTGCTTACAAGCCCCTGGATCTCCATCCTCCACACTCGTATATTGATCATGTACTGAGAAAATGCCTTACGGCTGGATCTCATGGAGGCATTTCCTCAACTGAGGCTCCTTCCTCCCTGATGACTCTAGTATGTCTCAAGTGGACACACGAAACCAGCCAGGGCACAGTCAAAACATCATCTTCTCAAAAACATTCAGCCCCATCGTTGGCTGTTTCAATAGACAGGCCTCAGAATGTTCAAAACAACCCACAGATTCAGGATTGGCTAACAAGTTAAATCCTGAAAACTTCCCACAGATGGCCAGTTCTTCTTTGACAATATCTCAGACGTTCCCACAACCTATCAACAGGCTCAATACTGTCTCTGCTAATCAACACTCTATCAAGGGGTAATGAACTAACAGTGACCAAAGGAACACTGCATTTGCCCCATACTTGAAAGACGTTAACTGACATGTCAGGAAAGACTACCCTCTCCCTCCAGCTCTATAATATGAAAGAAAGTATAAAAGGTGAGGATGTGGTTCATTGATGAGAAAGTGAAGTTCACATGGACCAGGTCTGGGGCTTCATCTCCAACAACACAAAAGAAGGCAGTGGTAATACAAGGTGAAACTTGTTAGTAACTTACGAATCTAGATGAAAGCTACAAACAAGAGTTTTTTAAATGTACTATCTGAAAACTCACAAGAAGTGGCAAACACAGTACAAACTCACTCACTCAGACGGCCCTGTTCGTCAGCAGTGTGCTCATTTGTTCTATTAACCACAGTCCCTTGTTTCTGTATCTACCCATCAACCTAATTTTTCCCAGAACTCCTTGAGGGTATAGTAATCACAGCCCTCACTAGAAAACTTGGTGTGCGGTTTCTAAGAACAGGGATATTTTATATAAACATAGTGTAATTATCAACTTCCTAAATGTATTATTAGCATATCTTTAATCTCTTAGCCACAACTCAATTTTTGATTAGTGCCTTTATACCATTTTCCCCTGTAGTAATGGACCTGTCTAGACATGAGCATTACATCTAATTATCATGTCTCCTGAATCTTTTGTCTGGGACATTTCCATAGCCTTTCTCCTTCATAATACTAATGTTTGTAGGGCTGCAGCACCCTCCACATATCTGCTACCAGACAAGCATCATCTTGTCTGTGTCTAGTGTTTCTCAGTCGTTAGTGTATGCCTCTGTCAGAATACATCTGACTTGTGCTATGTCTAGTATCTATGTGCCTCCATCACCCATACAAAAACCCAAAGTACTGCCCAACTTTCCCTAGTGCATAAGCAGTTGTTTTGTTTTATTCTCACTTGTAACTAATAAACAATTCATAATAGATTAGATTCATATAAAAATCTGATTTCTCAACTTTCTTACAAATCCAAAATAAAGTTTAAAAATCCATTCATGCAAAGTACAATGAAACTTGAAAATGGAGGTTTTGCTCTACCATAATACAAAATCTTTAGTAATAAGAAAAGTCAAATCAATTCAAAAACAAAGACTAAAACCAGTGCTCCATGATCACGATGCTACAGAGTTAGTAGTTATGTTTTTTGTTTTGTTTTGTTTTGTTTTTTTGCAATCACTAGAAGCAAATAAATGGCTTTTCTTATAGTCTAGAAAATAACTGATGCCATTAGCTTTTCATATAAATGATTTTGCTTAATTAGATACAATTTTCAAGTGATGTTTCTATTGAACATTTGAGAACAAAACAAAGACCCAACATTTCCCTAACTCAGTAAGCACACTTCTTTCTGTCAAATGTGTATTTCTGTGAGTCAGCTGTGTCCACACTATGTGCCAGTCAGGCCACCGTTTTCACTATTAAGCACAAGCAGCCAAAGGCTGGGAGAGAGAAACAGGAAGCCCTCCGTTACTCACTCTCTAAGTCAGAGATAATGAGGTTGTCATGAAGCTTCACAGCTCGATGCTGCTCTACTTCATCTTCAAGCTCGAAGATAGTTTCCTTCATGTCACTCCTTTCTGTCTCTTTTTCCTCCAGCTCTGATCTTAATTTTTCCAATGTCATATTCAAATCTTCAATCTGCTTCTTGGCTTCTTCCTGGAAAGCTCGGTACTCGTCTTCTACCTAAAGAAACGATGACAATTAAAGGGATGAACTCTATCTTAATGACAATTAAGATAAAACTCTATAACTGAAGTATTTATGTTTGCATGGAAGCTAAGTGTGAGCAGCTATAGACAGACTGAAAACCTGGCTAAACTCAACATGGGGAACAGCATTACAACAAGATTCTCATATGGCATGTCTGAGCACAACCCTATACATCACTGACCAAAATTACACCAATGTATCACTGAACTTAACCAAATTATTTATGAAGCATTTGGGGGACATTTTCTCTTCTCCGGTTTGGGCTTAAAGTGTGCATTTGATCAACAATTGACATGCTCTCCTACCATTAAAAAACAACAACAACAAAAAAAGCTGTACTTATGACAGAAAAAAAAACCCCTCAAATCAAATATGAATTTAAGATTAGCAAGCTGGCTCAGCAGGTAGAGTGCTAGCTGCCAAGCCTGAGGACCTGCCTTCAATCCCCAGAACACACATGGAGGAGGAAGAGAACGCACTCCAACAAGTCATCCTCTCATCTCCTCCAATGACTCATGGATACTCACACAGACACACACATTCAAAACATAAGTAAAACATAAAGTTTTCATTTGTAATAGTCTTAATCAAAGTACTAGTTCATAGTACTCCTCAACATCTATCTCCTAATTTTATCTCTAAAAGTGATTAGCAACAGACTGGCAAGATGGCCCAGGAGATAAGGGCACTTGCTTCCAAAACTGATGACCTGAGTTTGATCCTTGGAACTCACATGAGAGAAGGAGAAAACCAACTCCCACAAGTTGACCGACTGATGCCCGACCCCAGCCACACCCACATACTCTCTCTCCCTCCACCTCTGATGTCCTGACTGACCCTTCTCAGCAACACAAACATATATACCTCTCTCTCCTCATCTCTGAAACAAATGTGAATTAAGTTTTTCAAAAAGGATCACTACAACAGTTAAAATATAAGTTATTCAAGTTTTGACCAAAGATGCACTAGAACTCACAGAACTTGGACGCAGAAGATCTCAGCAATCAAGGGCACTTCCTGCTTTTCTAGACAAACCTAGTTCAGTTCCCAGCACCCACATCAGGAGTCCCAACAGCCTGTGACTCCAGCTTTAAGGGATCTAACACGCTCTTCTGGCCTCTGTGGGCACATACACATGTGCCATAAATTAACACAAGCACACATACACACTAAAAGAGAAACAAAATGTGGGCTAGAATCAATCACTTCAACAGTCACTCAAGATATAGAACCCTGGCCAGAACACCAGCAACCTAGCCAGTCATTCTGACTGAGTTTTCACTATTTGCGGTGGTTTAAAGAAAAGGACCCCCAAAGGGAGTGGCACTATTAGGAGGTGTGGTCTTGTTGGAGTGGGTGTGTCCTTGGAGGAAGTGTGTCACTACGGAGGCATGCTTCGAGGTCTCATATATGCTCATGATACCGCTTCATGTTCAGTTCACTTCCTGTCGCCTGCAAAATATAGCATTCTCAGTTCCTTCTCTAGAACCATGTCTGCCTGCCTGCCTGCCTCCATGTCCCACCATGATGATAATGGACCGAACTTCTGAAACTGTAAGTCATCACCTCATGGTGTCTCTTCACAGCAAAAGAAACCCTAACTAAGACAGAACTATTACACTGAACATCTGTGAAATGAGAGACTAGAGGAATCATTTCTAAGCTCTCCGCCAGCGATAAATCCTACCCTTCGGGAAACAGGAGCAACTATACTCTAAAACTAGAATTAACTCATAATAAAGTGCTATTTGAAAAAAAAAAACAAAACAAAACACAATTATAGCAGGACAAAAGGCGGCAAATACTGTCAATCCCTGAAAACTGAAATCTTGACTCAGCATCTACCTGGCGCCACAGTATATTAAAGGATATAAAATTCTCTATTAACCAGAACAAGGTATGAACTCATTTTAACTTTAGACCATCTGGGAAGAAAATGACAAAAAAAAAAAAAAAAAAAAAAAAAAAAAAAAAAAAAAAAAACACCAAAGAAAAAAAAAAAAAAAAAAAAAAAAAAAAAAAATAAAAATAAAAAAAACAGGAAAAAAAAAAAAAAAAAAAAAAAAAAAAAAAAAAAAAAAAAAAAAAAAAAAAAAGCCCAGAGAGAAAAATGACAGTATAATAAGTATTTTACTATTAAGGTAGCACGTTTTAAAACTTGACAATGATTGCTGTAAGTAAAAGGCAATGGCGCATTAAGCAGCAAGCATTTCTGTTTTTCAACAAGTGCGCTGTGTATGACAGCTGTACAATACTAAATGAGAACATCTTTACTTGGGCAAATACCTTGGCAATGGTGTCCTGTAACCGATTGGCATCATTTCGGGTATGAGCCAGATCTTCCTGCAGGCTACTGGCCAAAGTCTCTGCCTTTTCCTTGTCCAACCTCACGCTCTCCAGGAGGTCCTGGATATCGGATTTGTCTCCGGAGTTATGGATGGAATACAACTCGGCCACTTTCTGCTTTTCGTTCTCCAGCTGGGCCTTCAGGCGATTCATCTCGATCTGGTCACTGGCCACGGTGGCTTTGTACTCCTCTAGTGTGGCTGCCAGGGCTGCTTTGCCCTTCTGCTCAGACTCAATAATGCGCTCCATGTGGTGGCTGCGCTCTTTGAGAGCACCGATCATCTCTTGAGCTTCCTTGTTGTCTTGCTCTGCCATCTTCAGAGTGTTGCTTAGGTGCTGCTGGACACCGAGGAGCTGCTCTCGCTCGAAGCGGGCATTCTCAGCCAAATCCATGTACCGCTGCTCCAGTTCCATGTAGCGCCCGCTTTTTACGTCTTCATCTATGACATAAGAAATGTGATGCTCATCTAGAAGGGAGCGGAAATATTCAATCTGCCGGCCAAAGTGTTCCAACTTATCACTCTGCTGACACAGCGACTCCATCAGGATGACCTTCTCCTCTCCCAGCCTTTCGTTCTCACTGTTGAGTTCCTGGGTAATCTGCTGGAGATCCGCTAGCTCCTGCAGAGTTGCCTGCAGCTCCTCACTGGTACTGTGCTGGTTCTCTTCCATCTGGTGAATCCGTTCTGTCAGGCAAGCAACGGAGACCTCACTCGCATTCCCGCTGCTCCCCTTGCGAGAACGCTCTATGCTCGGGATGCCCTCTGACTCTGAAGACGAGGGGGCATCCAGAGCATCATCACTTGAAGTGAGGGGCTGGTACACCTCGCTGCACTCACTGTCCAGGTTGTCCATAGAGTTACTGTGCTGATGGTCCATGAGTGTATTTTCATCCTGACTCAGGAGATCTTCAACTGACCCGGGGGCAGAACCTTCTACCGAAGATGTCAGAGTTCCTCCTCCATCGCTCTGGTTACCAGCGGTGATCTCTGGGCTCAGGGACTGATAGCCAAATAGTTTTTCAGGATTGTCCAGCCTCTGCTCTAGGGAAAAGCCCAATGCATTCAACCTGTCCTTTAGCATTCTGTTTTCATTTTTCAGCTGGTTGAGCTCCTCCCGGATGGCTGTATTCTGTTCCTGCAGTTGCAGTAAAGTAGACTCCACGTCAGTTGGCTGGTGAGCAATAATGGTTTCCTTCTCTTCAGACTTTTCATCTCCTTCAGAAGGGTCCTCATTAATGCCCAGCTGAGCACGCATGTCTCGGAGTTCATTTCTCAAATGCAAAATCTCCACGTCCTTGGTTTTTGCCAGGGTGAGGAGATCTTTCACCTTGGCTTCCAAGGCAGCTTTGTCACTGATCTGATTGTCCGACTTAGACTTGCTCATTCGAATATCACCCTCCGCAGCAGTGCGGCTGCGAGAACGTTTAGCCAATGCCACATCATTAGCTCCCTGACTTACAGAAGGCAGTTTTTTGCTCTGGTTTAGCCGTGTGCGCTCACGTAATCTTTCTCTGGTAGAACTGGATTCTTTATTACCGGCTGAAGCACTCCGTTTGGCTGAGGAACTAGTACCTACATGTTTAAAACAAAGAATTTAAGATAAAATTATTAGCAACAAAAATGCATGTGTTCAGAGCCCAGGACTACTGAGATGAAAGCTGGGAAGCTGAACTGACACAGACCTTTAGTTGGTCATCTTCAAAGTCAATCTTGAGGACTCCAGCTTGTGAACTAGACTACCGGGCGCTTGGCCTTTCCATTGGAAGACAGCCTGTAAGCCACTCAAATGCCCTTTTACAATACATATGCATGAATATATTGTATTATATTACTTATACACATCATTCTATCAGTTCCACTGCTTTAAAGAACCCTGACTTATACAAAGATGCTCTATGCCCTGGTGAGAAAGGAAGCAGCCTACACCTGGCAAGGACAACAATAATAAAGCGGGACAGAAAGCCTGTAGGAGACTCCAAAGACAAGGAAAAGGAATGGTGAAACAAAGATAAATGGGTATCAAAAGCTGAAAAGCATGGCATAACCTTCCTTCCCTAACATTAGGGCACAGTACCATCATTCCTACCAACACCAAAGGCTCTTTTCATTTAAAAGAAAAAAGTATGGATGACTGAAAGACAAAAGGAACACACCTCAGAATAGAGGCAAGGGCTGGCCAAGACACAGAAGCCAAGAATAGGGGAAGATACAGGAAGGAGGAAGAGACAAATGGAAAGAAGAGTAGCTGGTTGGTTACTGAACTGAGCAGGCTCAAGGTGTATGAGCAGCCTGGAGACTAAAATCAAACAGCCTTAGGGGTATCCTCAGGAAGAGAGAATAAGACATCCAATGAGCTGGAGAGTAAGGATGCTGCTTGGGCTGAACCATGTCCCCCGAAATGTGTATATTAAAGCCCTGCCTAGTCCCTAGAATGTGACTGTATTTACAGACAGGGCAATTGAATCAGCCAATTAAATTCAGACAGAGCTATGTGGTGGTTTGAATAATAATGGCCCCCATAGGTTCAAGTATTTAGATGCTTAGGGAGTGGCTCTATTTGAAAGGATTATTAGATGTGGCCTTGTTAGAGGAAGTGTGACCTTGTTGGAGAAAGTGTGTCCCTGGGGGAGGGCTTTGAGGTTTCCAAAGCTCAAGCTTGGTGTGCAGTGTCTCTTTCTGTTGCCTGCAGATGTGGATTTAGAAGTCTCAGCGATGCTCCAGCAGGCTGCCTGCCTGCATGCCGCCATGCTTTCCTCCATGCTGCTAATGGACTAAATGATAATGAAACTGTAAGCAAGTCCCAATGTAAATGTTTTCTTTTATAAGAATTGCTATGGTCATGGTGTCTCTTCATAGCAATAGAACACTGACTAAGACATGCTGTTAGGGTAGCCCTTATCCAGTGTGATTTGTGTCTATAAAAAGAGATTAGGACTAAAGCAGAGGGACACATTGTAGGGACACAGTGAGAAAACAGCCAAATAACCAAGGAGGCCTCAGGAGAAGCCATAATTGCCAATACCTCCAATTTACACACTACATTATAACAAAATAAATTTCTGTTGTGTGAACCATCCAGTCTGTAGTATTTTGTTACAGTGTACTAGCAGACTAACACAGACATCCACATCTGAACTAGAGTACCTAATCCTAGGCAATAAATGTACCCCAAGGTCAGGTGTAGCAGTCAATAGGAAAGCATGTGTGCACAATGGAATGGCCCTCTGCTCAGCTCTAAAGCCACAAGCAGGAGATGGCAACAGAGTATTTCATCTCAACATCCTTGCCCAATGTGTAGGGCATTAAACGTGATAACCTCAGGCTTGCAAGTAACACAGTGAAGATTGTACCTTACATAGTCTGGTACAAAATGAGTTCCCAAGAAACATCTATCAGGCAAATGAATGGACGGCTTTTGGCAAGACTATTAAGCTAGGCTTCAGTATAGTTATCTCATACCTACAATGAAGATAATATAGTCTATACTTCAAAAGCGATTATAACAATAAGGTTGGGAACGTTCCCTCTGTTAATCGTACCATACCACCATTAAAATGAACAGTGGAGTGTGATCTGGGATGTAAGAAGAAACTACAGAAGTTCAAAGGGGTAAGGGGACAGTGGGAAACCTGGGCTAGGAAAGTCTAACACAAACAAAAGGGCTGATGTCTATGTGATGAAGAGGAGCTACTATAATGGTGGCCCGTTAGCTTTCTTTCATACGTTGTACCATATAATGTGACATTCTCATGTTTTATAATTATTTATTAGCACATATTAATTGTACAAATTAAGGAGTTTCACTACATGATCTTATATTCCTGGAAGTTTTGAAGGAGTTTTTTTTTTTTTAATTGTAAGTAAAATATGGTAATATTCCTTCTTAGACTGTAGGATTTTCTAAGTTCATTTATTAACTTTCTTCCTTAGTTTCATATAAATCACTAGATTAATACTATTAATCTAAAAACAAATAGCTAAGGAGAAGAGAGGAGAGGCAAATAATACCAAGATTGATAAAGCCTCAAGTAGTCATACTTAATATTCACCTAAAATTATATAGGGGTATGTGTGTGTGTGTGTGTGTCTTAAATGTCACTTGGGCTGACAATGTGCTGCATAAGAACCACAGACTAACAAAAACCCCAGTACCAGGAACAAATAACTTCCTCTTGAGTGGTTGGTCAGGGTAGTCTAAGTGACTCCCAAAACTATATAGGCTATGGGTGTTGCTCCTGGTTTCCAATAATGCGTTGAGGGTAAGCCCTTATTGCTGAGGAAATCACACACACAGAACACTAGTCTCAGATGACTTAAGCTGTACCTAACCTAAAAAGACTCCCCTTGCAGTCTAGCTTCCATTGTGCCAGAAAATACTATGCAAACCGCCAAGGGAAGGAAGCAATTAACAGTCCCACCCAGATGTCACATCTATGATCCACAACAATGACCATGGCAAGATATTCCTAAAGGTAAAGTGGCACTCACATGTTGGTGGTAACCAATAGCGGTCTAGTTACTAAGGCACACTCAACGGGGGGAATTATACCTCGGACTAGAAACCTACTGAACTAAGACTAGTGAGGTCCTCAAAGAGACTCTACTTCTGGCATTGCTAGACCAGCACAATTCCTTGCTACATTCTAAATCTCATCCTTATACCACAGGCAAGTGTGGCCATACTCTATCAAAGAAGCTTCTCTACAAAAAACCAAAGCCATACAGAAAATCCCAACTGGACATAATGCAAAGATCAACCAATTGTAGGGATCCAGCCCCAGTGGAGAGATCTACGTCACAGCTCCTGCATCTGGACTCAGGGAACATGGCAGAAGAGAAGGCAGTAAAAGACTCTAAGAACCCAGAGGACCAGGACGTCTCCTTCCTGTAGGACTAGAAATAGCCACATAAACAAGACAGAAATAATAGCAGTATAAACAGATGGGCTAACCTGGAGCGGGATAAAAAAATCTCTCAGGGTCCCACTCCTGCAAATGATAACTGATGGGAGAAAGAGCATTAATCTCTCCCGGGGGTCAGCCCTCTTAAGTGGTTACCCAATACAAAGCGGTCAGCCATGAAACCATATACACACAAACAAGTAAAACACGCATGCACGCACACATGCACATGCACATGCACAGACTAAGGTGGGTATGAAGGTGCCAGGCTGACTATGAGTTGGAAAGCCAAAGCAGAGGAGTACAAGACTGAGTAGCACCCATACCTGTGCTAATCTTGGACTTGTTCTCCACAATGGTCATGGCAGGGGCAGGTGCTGAAGGCGCTGCAGATGAAGAGGAGCTCTTCTTTGCCTTAACGCCGTTAGTCACGTTTACTCCTCCAGCCATTCCAGCTAAAAGGTCATCATTGCTCTTGGTCTAGAAGCAAGAGAAAATATAAACACACTGACTAGATGGGACAAGATTAATTTGAAGACTGAGCAAAGTTCTTGACTTTTATACTATACTTAAGAACTCTAACTACACATACGACAAGGATAGCCTATACTGCTTAAGCTTTAAAAAATACCACTAAGAGTCAAGTAAACCTTCATTACTTTAAAATGACTCTAAACGAAACTATTTTGAAATGCACCTTAGCTTATCTAATTCTTTAGTGCTAAATTTGCAAAAACTGAAAAATCTTAAAGACGCTGTAATATAGTAACAAAAACTGGGTCTTCATCAGGGCATCAAGAGTTAGTCTCAATGATCACCCACTTCATACTTTATAAAGGTGACTAAAAATATGAGGATTTTTAAAAGAAACACACTATCGATGATGATAATGGCTTTAAAATTACTATTTAAGAAAAAACAGTGAAGAGACCCTGTGGTGGTTTGAATGAGAATGGCTCCCAGTGGCTCATATTTGAATGCTTGGTCCCAGTTGGCAGATGGTTTGGGAAAGATTAGGAGGTGTGGTCTTGTTGGAGTAGGTGTTCACTTGGGGTGGGCTTTGAGGTTTCCAAATTATTCCCAGTTAGCTCTCTCGCCCTCATGCTTATGGATCAAGATTTAAGCTCTCAACTACTGCTTCTGCATCTTGACTGTCTGCTGCCATGCTCCTCATTATGATGGCCATGAACTCTAACCCTTTGAAACTGTATGCCCCAAATAAACTCTCTCTCTCTCTCTCTCTCTCTCTCTCTCTCTCTCCTCTCCTCTCCTCTCTCATATAAGTTGCCTTGGTCATGGTGTCTTCAAACAGCAATAGAAAAGTGACTAATACAGACCCATTTTTACTTCTTTTATTAGAACACCAGGAATTTAAAAACTGTAGAAAAAGAAAAGTATTTATCACATTAATTATGTATTTAGTGTATGTATGCATGTGTGTGTACACATGTATGTGCCTTCTTGCACAGCAAATGTAACACAATGCACAGGTGGAGGTCAGAGGTCAACTCCCAGAAGTCTATTTTCTCCTTCCACTATGTGGGGTTCTGGAGATCAAACACAAGTGGTCAGGCCTGGCAGCAAATGCCTTTACCCACTGAACATCTCCAGACCAAAACTTTTCTCCACTTAAGGTAAAAGCACACATTAGCAGACTGATTTACTATCTTTGGCTGAAGCAATGCTCTTAAGTAATCATAATAAATTCACTTCTACAAGCTAAAATGGTTCATATGTGAGTAATCTCTAAAGTTTCAATACCAGGGATTCCACATGGAAATGTCTGTTCTCATCATTCATTTTTTAAAAATATCTTTTATTTTCTGTGTCTGAGTATTTTGTCTGCATATATGGCTGTGCTGCACATCTGAGATTGGTGCCCACAGAGGTCAGAAAAGGGCACTGGACCCCCTGGAACTGTAGTTACAGATGGCTGTGAGTAATGTGAGTGTTGGGTATCAAACCTAGGTTCCTAGGGTTTCTATTGCTGTAAGACACACCATGACCACAGCAATTCTTATAAAGGGAAACTTTAATTGATATGGCTTACGGTTTCAGAGTTTCAGTCCATTATCATTAAGGCAGGGCATGACTGTAGACAGGCAGATACAGTGCTGGAAAAGGAGCTGAGAGTTCTATAATTTGGTCCACAGGCAACAGGAACTGAACTGTGTCCCACATTAAGCATAGCTTGAGCATATAAGACCTGAAAACCTGACCCCAGAGTGACACACTTCCTCCAACAAGGCCACACCTACTCTAACAAGGCCACACTTCCTAATAGTACTACTCCCTATGGGCCAAGCATTCAAACACATGAGTCTATAGGGCTGTTCCCATTCAAACAACACTAGATCTCCTGAATAAGTAGTATGACCTTTCAAACACTGAGCCATCTCTCCTGTCTTAAGCTGTCTTATAGTAGTGTAGATAGGTATAAATACTTTATTTAAAAAGAGTCAGAAGCCAGGCAGTCGTGGCGCATGCCTTTAGTCCCAGCACTCAGGAAGCAGAGGCAGGCGGATCTCTGTGAATTTGAGACCAGCCTGGACTACAAGAGCTAGTTCCAGCACAGCCTCCAAAGCCACAGAGAAACTCTGTCTTAAAAAACCTAAATAAATAAATAAATAAGTAAATAAATAAATAAATAAATAAAAAGAGTCAGAAGATTTAGTGTTGAGGCTAAGTCATAGAATGCTCACATGACTAGCACACTCACAGACCTGCATTTGATACCAAGACTAAGTAAAAAAGTAAAATAGGGGACTGGAGAAATGGCTTAGTGGTTAAGAGTACTGGCAGAGGACCCAGGTTCAACTTCCAACACCTACATGGTAGGTGTAACTGTAACTCCAGTTCCAGAGGATCTGATGCCTTCTTCTGACCTCTGTAAACACCAGACACACAAGGGGTGCCCTGACATACATTCAAGCAAAACACTCATTAATTTTTTTTTAATTTAAAAACTAAAAATAGCTCTCTCTTCCTTCTGTTCCTTTGAAGAGGCAGGCCTTTTACATTAAACTGCTTGTATGCTCACTGCTATTTTTCCATTTCTTCTAATTGTGCTATGAGATTCTATAAATACATGTACATCCCTGTAAATATTCCCTATCATTAACATCCTAAAACATGAAATTAATGAAGAAACATGTTATAAATACATCTTCAACAACACATGCAAGATTCAATTAATTTGGCAAAAATACTGCAGATTCAAAGAGTGAAATCCCAAAGTATTGCATACATCCCATGGTCAAGTCTAGTCTACATATTTTCTCAAATTTTAAGATTACTTTCCAGATTATACATTTCAGAGGTGAACTGTCACACGGTTAAATTTTTCTTTCTCTCTCCTACCCTGCCCGTGTGTGTGTGTGTGTGTGTGTGTGTGTGTGTGTATGTGTGGTGTGTGGGCATGTGCAGATTTGGCATTAAGAATCCACCCAGGGCCTTTTACATACTATACAAGCAGCCTGTTACTAAGCTACAACCCTGTTAACTAGCTTTTATACTACAAAATAATAAGTGCAGAAAATTACGATCAAAATAATTACAGAGCACTATCAGTTATTTGGGTTCTGACTGACGCTTATTAGTTCCCTCAATCAATTTTTACAAAAAACATTTCCCAGTAGGATGGGAACTCTGCTGCCTCTTCAAGTACTAGAGAAGCATGCAAACTGGAAGATGAAAGCACTGAGGGACCGTCAGCATAGAAAAGAAGCTTAACTACTGACTGTGAAAGTAACCCCAACCAGATCAGCACAGCCCCTGACAAGTGTGAGGATGACCTCCCTACATCTCACTGAGGAGAGCTATTACTGCTCACTTCCTACCACCACAGCTGCCATCAAGAGTGACTAGAGCCAGCCGGGCATTGGTGGTGCATGCTTTTAATCTCAGCACTCAGGAGGCAGAGGCAGGAGGATCTCTGTGAGTTCAAGGCCAGCCTGGTCTCCAGAGCGAGTGCCAGGAAACAAAAAAAACCCCGTCTCGAAAAAAAAAAAAAAAAAAAAAAAAAAAAAAAAAAAAAGAGTGACCAGAGCCTATATTACATCACAAAGATCATCCTCCGAACTCTTAACTAGAGTTGGCATCTGAAATGAGATTCTAAAAAGTTCAAGGGCTTTTACCCTGACACTATGAGGAAGGGGTCATGGGAAAACTGATCAATGACAAAAATGTATAAATGGGGTTAAGTATGGACACATGATCTAAATAACTAGGAAGAAAACACTTCATTTATCCTGCTCCTCATCAATGCTCCATTATAGTTACAGGAATGAGGGCTATGGGAGGTCTGTGCCAAGGGAACAGTGAACTACAGTCACTCTGAAAAATAAAGTATCAACAAGTCAAGGTGTCAACCCCCTTCTTTTATATTTTTGGTTGTGAGCCTAGCCTTTAACGGCTGAGCTATCCCTCTAGCCCAATACCCTTCTTTTACACAGCACTAGACATGGTACCGGGGTTATAACACATGAGCTGAATTCCAAGCCTCTCAAAAGCTCTTTAATGTTTTCATTTTTTCTGCTTATTTTTACTGTTTTATTTCCTGTCTCTTCTTCAATTTTAACCAACACCAGTTTTCTTCTAAGGGACAGTCACTGATCACATTCAGGCAAAGTATTACCAGAGAGCATGATAGTTGACCCTCCCTACTACAAATGCACCCACTGTATCCCCAACACACACACACACACACACACACACACACACACACACACACACACACACAGCTGGTGTGTGCCGGCTGTTGCTTTACAATGTGTTGCTTTACAATGGAAAAGTACTCACCCTTCAAGACCAAACTCTCAGAAACTCCAGATCCACACCTCAGAGGGGACATGCCTGCTCAGTGCACATACCACAGTAAATCTGACACAGAGGACATAGAAGGCAGGCGGTAGTACCATCCAACAACAACACTTCAACCTTGTTCTTCCAGTCACATAAATAACAGGTCACCTGTGACACATGTACTCCACTCCGGAGACAGCCCAGTAGCTAAGTAACCAGTTAGGTCAGAACATGCCATCTCTCTTACATGAAAGAGCAGCATCGCTGCCACCAGAGAGACACTTCAGGCTGTTGATCCAGACTATCGGAAGTAGGGCAAAGGTCACTGCTGGCACTGTCCCTGAGGCCACAGGATGACAACTAGCAACTCATCAAGGATATTGGAAGGAGAAAAATTAGGGTCCTCCACACCCACTGAATCAGCCTAGGTTCAGTTTTAACAGCCTTGAAATACAAAACAGCATTTCATGCTAGATGTCTCAAAACATACATGGAAATACCTCACATGCTGTTCCTCTGGAGTGTTTTTTTGTTTGGTTTTGGTTTTTGGTTCTTTGAGACAGGGCCTCTGTGTAGCTTTAGAGCCTGTCCTGGAACTTGCTCTGTAGACCAGGCTAACATTGAACTCACAGAGATCCACCTGCCTCTCAAGTGCTGGGATTAAAGGCATGTGCACCACTGCCTGGCTTGAAGTGCTTTTAAAATAAATTAATCCACAATCTAAAACCCTCTGCCTGAATACAGGATTGCTGAAGATGTAGGGCCATGCTTGGTTTCTCCTTGTCAGACTCATAGAAACCCCTCCCAAAGTCTGTGTAGTGAGTTTCTACCCCAAACATCCCAACACAAAGACAAGGAAGCAGGTAAGTTAGTAAATACACATTAAGCTGAAAGGGCTTCCAGATGACTGTGTGGATCTGTGAGCAAGGACATCAAACACTGAACTAGGAGTTGGGTGAGGTGGTACACACTTGTAATCCTGGCACTTAGGGAGCTGAGACAGGAGGGCTGCAAGGAGTTTGAGCCAGCCTGGGCTACATAGCAAGATCTTGTCTCAAAACATAACATCAACAAAAAAATAAAGACTTTTAAAAAGTAGGGCTAGGGGCAGTGGCTGTGGCTGAACAGGTAGAGATGTGGGGACACCAAGGCTAAAAACTTCAGTTCAAACCCTGAGACACAAACATGGATGCCCACACTGTGGCACGAAGGTACACACACACATGCACATCGATGTGCACACTAGATAGACAGACAGACAGGAAGACAGACAGACAAATTGATGGGCATGGAGCAATCCCTGAATAGCCCAAACCAATACAGAACACCTTACGTAAGAACACCTCTGGAAAACTGTTATGTTCCCAAAATCTGTCCTGGTTTAAAAGATTCAAATCTAACAACAACAACAACAAAAAAAAAAAAAACCATGATACCACCTGTCATTTACTAAATCATTGATCTGTGCTGTCCCTTTTACTTATGGCCACAGTCCTTTGAAGCCATGTATTCATCTCCCCAAAGTCTCTGGTCTAATTACAATTCTATACTAAAAAAGAATTAATCCAGTCTCTAGGAAAGTCTAAAGAAAACTAACTATGCTCTTACTGGATTAAAACCCCAATGATGACTAGGACTAATACTGGATCAGTTGTTGATGGGGAAAACAAAAGAAATCCATGCTGTAAATTAGGTGTTGTGGCATACGCCTTTAATCCCAGCACTCAGGAAGCAGAGGCAGGCAGATTTCTGATCTTAAGGCCAGCCTGGTCTACAAAGAATTCCAGGACAGCCAAAAACTACAGTGCTACACAGAGAAACCCTGTCTCTAAAAAACAAAAGACAAACAGACAAACATGCTCTAAAAGAGGGTGACACGGAACAAACAGTCAAGAGGTCACAGGAACTCGACAGCCAGCCATCCTTTAACACACAGCTCGCCTGTTCTTTTCAAAGCCCCCCTGAGCTAGGAGCAACATTATCTCCTGTCCCTACTCTCTGTCTCTTGGGCATCTGACATTTCCTGGGTGGTCCAGTTATTCCTGTGTGCATCTCATGATGGCCATCCTTTCCTCCTCAAGTTCCCTGAGGGCAGACTCCACCTCCAGCTAAACTGCACACAACACCCAGCATCAAGCAGGCACTTGGTTATTTTTTTATGCAGAGCCTATTATTAGTTTCATTCATACTGACAGACCAAAACACCAATTAAGGCCACCCTGCTGTAAGGTCTCTTCAAAGACTTGTGTTCCTAGTACTAGTAGAGAGTGGACTCCGAGTAATACTCATTTAATAAATTCACCGTATTAAAATACATGCCTAAACCAGGCGAATGTGGCACACGCCTTTAATCCCAGCACTCAGGAGGCAGAGGCAGAGGATCTCTGTGAGTTTGAGACCAGCCTGATCTACAAGAGCTAGTTCCAGGATAGGCTCCAAAGCCATAGAGAAACCCTGTCTCAAAAAACCAAAATAATAATAATAATAATAATAATAATAATAATAATAATAATAATAATAATAATAATAATAATAATAATAATAATAATAATAATAATAATAATAATAATAATAATAATAATAATAATAATAATAATAATAATAATAATAATAATAATAATAATACATGCTTAAAATCCACTGCATAATCAAACAATGCTATGTTAGTACCTTCGACAAAGATGCTGCTGTTGCGGGCTTCACAGGTTTGCCTCCTGTGGGTGCTAAAGAGCTGTTTTCCGGCTTGCTTTTTTCTACTGTTTGCGGTTTGCTTATCCCAGACACCTTAGGCACTGAGCCGACACTTCTGTTTGCTTTCTTCATTCTGGGCTGCCTCTTGGTGATGCATTTACAATCAAACCTGTGGGAAGAAACATCATCATGTTGGAAAAAAATTCAAAACAAAAAACTGGAAAACAACTCTTTAGAAATTATTTCTGAAAAATTTCACATGATAAAAATATCTGAAAGACAGATGTCGTAACAGAAAGCAACGTTGAAAATCCTTAAACTTACATCATCAAAATGCAATTTTTAATCCTTAAATTACATTATCAAAATGTAATACTTTACTTATTTATAATGTGCTCTAATTCATTCAGTAGAAAGGCAACTTACATCGTATGCTGGCTAGTTCTATATCCAAAAACCCAGCAGGGCAAACTCCAAATCCTGTAGCTCTGCGTCCAATGTCAAAAGGCTCACTTACATGGCTCTTTCCTCCCAGCTTTACCAACCAATGATATTGGGTATCCTTCTGTACACTACAAATATGTGTTGCTTTTATTGGTTAATTAATAAAGCTGTTTTGATCAATGGCTGAGCAGACTATAGCTAGGTAGGAAATCCAAACAGTGTTACGGAGAGAGAAGTTGAGGAGACGTGATGTAGTTGCTGAAGGAATAACATGTCAGAATATTTCGGGTAAGCCAAGACTCATGGCAATACATAGATTTATAGAATTGAGTTAACTTAAAAGAGAGCTAGCCAGTAATATGCCTGAGCCATTGTCCAAACAATTATATTTAATATTAAGTCTCAGAATGTTATTTCATAAGTGGCAGCAGAGACCTGGTGTGCAGAAGAGAAACTGGTCCAGTGGGATGGGCAAGACAGAGAAAAACATTAAACTACAAACCACAACCCCCACCCCACCCCTCTGTCTCTCTCGGGCGAGTTGCACTCCCTATATTCAGTTTTCCCTGGCATGTGCCCCAGTGCTCTTGCACCTCCAACATTTTGTGGACTCCAACACAATCCAAGCTTCACTTTCACTCTTCACACTCTCAGGATCTCCATGCAGGGACTCTACTGACAAATGCCCAGTCTCTGCAGTTCTCCTTAACGATGGAGCAAGATTCCACAACTCCTGTCTTTCATGGTTCTATAGCCAGAACCATGTGGCTGAAGCTGCCAAGTCTGACTATTTGCTTTGGATAGAACCTGGCCCCTCCTTGAATTACATTTGCATAAGCGTTCCTTTGTAGTTGCTTTTTAGGTGGAGGAAATCCCTCAAGCCTCTTCCTTTCACAAATTGGAGGATTAGCTGGGTGGCATCTTACCCTGACAGCACCACTCCCTTTATTCCATTTCCCATCAGGCTTCTCCTCTTTCATCACATACCTGGGTTCCAACATCAAATTTCCTAGTGCTCTGTTTCTCCTCAAACTGTACATTCTGTACTTTTCTTTTGGCCCTATTTCCTCTTTCTCAATGTAAATCTGCATAAGAGCAATCACTAATAACCACAGGACAGAGGCAATATTAGATGGTCTTGAAATCTCTTTGCCAACAAAATCAGTTCAAAGCTTTTGATTTAGCCAAAGCTGCAGTGAGGTCACAGGATGCAACACAGGTCAGTGCTTCAAGAAACACATTTAACTCTGAAACTGTAGCTGTACATTCAGAAACCTTGCACTGAGGCCCACATGGAGGTGGCAACACACAGATCTAATGAATCTGTATTTCCTAACGACAGGCCTGGGGCTGCTTTGAAGACAGAGTGAAGGATTACACCACATAAGGGCTAGCTAGGCATGAGGACATGGGAGCAGGAATCCCCTTCCCTGAAACTTCTCTTCACTGCCTGAATCTAAGCTCGAAGTCTATCACTCAAAAGTACTGCTCTGACTCCACTGCTCTCAGTACCTGAGAATGCCAGAAAGCTTTCCTTTATGGACTCGTCCCGCAGCAGCTCACCACCAGGAACTTTCCAGTTCATTTCTGTCGGTTCCTGAACCATCCCGAACATACCTGTATCTCTTTTTAAAAATTTTTGTGTGGGGGCTGGAGAGATGGCTCAGAGGTTAAGAGCACTGGCTGCTCTTCCAGAGGACCCATGTTCAGGTTCAATCCCCAGCACCCACATGGTAGCTCTAATCTGGGACCACAGACCCAGGAAATGCAATACCCTCTTCTGGCCTCTACAAGTACCAGGCACACAGGAGTGTACAGAATACACAAAAGCAAATCACCCATATATATAAAACAAAAACAATTTTTAACGCAGCAATTCAAAGAGTACTTTGTAAGAGAAATCCTTAGCTGGCCAGACCTCTCTATGTAATCCAGGTTGGCCTTGGATGAATCTACCAGTCTGTTTCCAAAATGCTGGAATCAAAGGTGTGTGTCACTATACCTAGCTGAGATTCCTTTATAAGGAATGACTAGAGGCTGTTTTACTTACTACTTACATTAAATTACATACTCTAGCGTGTAGATGTCAACAGACACTACTAGATTCTAGATCTTTCCCACTGGAAATTATAAACCAGGAAATGCCACAGAAGCATGTTAACGAGTCAAGAAACCTAGATTACCTCCCAGGCAGGCCTGGCACTCTGTAGATGGCTAACTCTGTGAGCCTGAGTGAG